TTGGGTGTCTGTAGGTCAATTACATTTGAATCTCCCCATCTTCATAATAACAACATTGAAATCTCTGTTGTGCTAACTTGAGATAATTTATTGAAAATTTTCTTAAATTCTCAGGAAGTATTATGCACATCTAAGATAGTGGTACTCAAACCATCTTGATAAAAATGCATTTCTGTTTTATCTGGTAACAATATGCATATTTGCAAATCATTCTATATAAATTCAGTTCACTGAAAACAGTGCCATATGGGAGGAGACGTTTGAGTATTTAGTTTGCATTTCTGTGCATTCTTAATTTTCATAAGTTTCTTTTCTTTTGTTGTTAAAAATATAACTCTTCTGGGACTTCCCTGGCTGTCCAGTGGTTAAGACTTTGCCACCCAATGCAGGGGATAGGAGTTCGATACCTGGTCAGGGAACTAAGATCCCACATGCCTTGGGGCTTCCCTCCCCCCCTCCCCCCCACCAAAATGTAAAACAGATTCAGTATTGTAACAAATTCAATAAAGACTTTAAAAATGGTCCACATAAAAAATATTTTTAAAAAACCCCAACTATTCATTAAATAAATAATTATTGATTACTTATCATGTGGAGGACTCTGTTATATAGTTCATGTGGGGCACATAAAAGTGATAAAACACTGTTTTTGTCCTCCCAGAACTGTTCACATTATCTGGAACCTTCCATTTTGAATCATTAAACTTATCTGTAGGTGGCACAGGTGTCTTTCTTGAAATCATTCCTCGTGTGGTGAACAGAATTGATCATCCTTAGGATGTCAACAGATTTGCAATGACAGCCTTCATCAGATAATGTGTTTCTTAGAAAGGAAGTTCAAAAGAACCAATTCTGTTAGATTGCTGACCTTGACCTCCTGTGGCCAAAAATCCTGTTTCCCTGTGTTTTGAAAGGAAACATGTTTTGAGCAAAGCTCCCAATCCCAGATTCAGTGGTTTTCCTTAAAGAGAGACAACAATGGAATTCTGGGAGAGACCTGACCGAAGCGGATCCATCTGATCCCTCTCAGGAGAGAGCAGTGTTTGTTTACTTTGCTGGGAGAGCTATATTTCTATGCATGTTCTATTATTAGAGTCCTTTGAAGTAGAAAAGTCATATGTCATGGACCTCCTTGGGATTAAATACGCTGAGGCTGTTTATCTCATGTGTACGTAGAGTACATAGGAAAGGAGAAAACACCTGTTTGTTGAAAACAGACTCTGAGGAATTAGGAAGCAAATGTTTGTAAGTTTTGATTCTCTGCGTAGTGTCAGTCACAGTTATTTATCTTACATTACAGGCTGCTATGCGGATAGATGGTTTTAAAGAGGAATGAAAGCCAAGAAATGTAGATAGAAAGTTATGTGGTATCTAGAAATCATGTTGGACTGGAAGGTAACCAGGGGTGATTCCTGCCCTGATTATGTATGTTGTGAACTTCTGATGAGAGAAACCATATGAAGTTGCTTTTGGAACATAGCTATTAACAAACTAAAACATTTCTTATTTCTTTGTTTTGATCATCACTTATTTATATTTAAAGCTCTTTTAGAAATTAAAAACAGGAAAGCTCAAAATATTTTCTAATCGTTTTAGTCTTATCACAATATATCTTAAACTTTAAAACAATATTTACTTATTTATTTGGCTGTGCTAGGTCCTTGCAGCTTGCAGGGTTTTTAGTTGTGGCTTGTTCTCTGACCTAGTTCTCTGACCAGCGATCGAACCTGGACCCCCTGCATTGGGAGCGTGGAGTCTTAGCCACTGGACCACCAAGGAAGTCCCTATCTTAAACTTCTTTACACATAAATTTATATCTCATTTTTATTTTTATTTTTTCCCAATTATTTTTATTAGCTGGAGGCTAATTACTTTACAATATTGTAGTGGTTTTTGCACCTCCCACCTCTCCCCATCTTATCCATTCATCTGCTGATGGGCGTCTAGGTTGCTTCCATGTCCTGGCTATTATAAACAGTGCTGCGGTGAACATTGGGGTACACGTGTCTCTTTCAGATCTGGTTTCCTCAGTGTGTATGCCCAGGAGTGGGATTGCTGGGTCATATGGCAATTCTGTTTCCATTTTTAAAAGGCCTATGTACTATTTCCTATGTGAAAGTAAAAATCCATGTCCTTTATTGATAGATATTTAAATTATTTGGTTAAACTACAAAAAAGTCAAAGCTACAGTGAGCACTTGCATTACATATACTTTTACTCATTCTCAAACATCTCTTACTGAAAGTAAAGTGCATGAAAAGAGAGGAAAGATGATGTTTGTTCAAGATGATATTCTATTGAAGATGTGGACTAATATTGTTTATAGTTATGGAATAAAACTTTGTATCAGGTAATGAGAGAGCCAACTGTAAGGGTAAGTGCATTTTGAAATTGGTGAAGACAATCCATCTTGACTTCCGTCTCCAGGAAGATGGTGTCAACAGTCTCTTCCCTGTTCCTCTTGCTAACTAAAACCACTGGACATTTTACATAACATTAATGTTAGAAGACTCTGAAAGATGGAAAACAGAAACTAGGCTGGCTAGGGACCTTAGCACCTAGGCTTTATTTTTTCTCATGTATCCTAGATCAGGCATTAAGGAAACTGGCAACCTGGAAATACAAATGGACCCAGACTAGAAAAGCCTCAAGAAAAGTCTGCAATCTCTACACAAAGGACCAAGAAAAAGGAACCCTCACAGGAAAACTTTTAGAGAATATCTGCTCTACTGTAGCCAAACACCCCAGAAAAAACTGTGGTCTTAGCTCTCCCCCTGCAACCCCCCATCACCTCTGTTGCCCTGACAGCAAAAGCCTGGACTTCCATCCTTGCCCTGCTATATAACAAGGTGCCCTCAGCCACCAGTGGGGATTTAGTGAGGGCTGAGTGGGGAGTTGCAATGTCTACACGGACTCCCATCCCCCTGTAATGTCAGTGGAGACAGCATGGAGTGACTGAACTCACACCTCCTCCGCTGTTGGGCTGGTATCAGAGGAAGTCACAGAGAGTCAGGGCTTTTACTACTGCTAAGTTTAAGGAGGCTGCTCTCCACATGTGAATGCAGTCATGAAGAGCCTTCCCTCTAGCATCAAAAGAAGACAAATAGAAAACCCTGTATTAATGAGTAGCACTTTCCTTCCTCCACCAGAATGGTTTCAGAAGAGATCTTCCAAAGCATAAAATTTAAATAAGATCCAGATTCTAGAAAATAATATTCCATATGTCCAAAGTTCAACTGACTATTGCTTATTATAGCAAGGATCAGAAAAATCTCAACTAGAATAAACAAAAGGCAGCCAAGGAAAGCCAAAGATGACATGTTACACATACTAGATTTATCTAACAAAATTTCTAAAGCAGTCATAATATAATACATTTCAGTAAACAATTACAAAGACACTTGAAATAAGTGGGGAAAAAAAGAGTAAGTCTCAGCAAAGAAATATGAACTCTCAGAAAAGAAAGTGAAAATATAAAAGAGAACCAAATGTGAATTTTGAAACTGAGAAACATAATAACCAAACAACGAGAAAAACCAACCAAATAAACAAACCAACCAAATAAACCAAAATCCAACTGAATGGATGGGCTCAATAGCAGAATGGGGAATACAGGTGAAAGAATCTGAAGAGGGAAAGATAGAAATTATTTAATCTTAATAACAAAATGCTAAAAAATGAATAGTGCTTCAGTGGCATGTGGGTCTGTAATAAAAATCCAATATTCACGTCATCAAAGTCCCAAAGGGAGAGAAGAAACCAGATGGGGTTGAAAACAATGAAATAATAGCTGAAAAGCCCCCAAATTTGGCAAGAGACATAAACCTTCAATTAGAGGGGCTGAGAAATCCACAAACAAGCTAAAGTGAAATATTTCTGTGCCAAGACGGATCGTAGTCAAAGTTTTGAAAATTAAAGAAAGAAAACTTGAAAGCAGGTAGAGAGAAAAGCTGTACTACCTATAGGGGAAAAAGCAAGCCAAGTGGGTTCCTCATGAGAAATAATGGAGGCCAAAAAGTATCAGCATTCTCAAGAGCTGAGAGAAAAGAACCCCTAACCCAGAATCCTACCTCCAGGGAAAATATTCTTTAGGAATGAAGAGAAGGATACAGAGAAAAACAGAGACATATGAATACAGCCTGTTCTGGCTTCTTGGAGTAGAGACTTCAGTGCTGGGGAGGGAAGTGCTGATATGTAATTGACAAATTGCAAGAGGCTCTAGGTGATCATTCTGAGGGCCAAAAACTCCAAGGAGACCCACAATTCTGTGAGATTTACCTTTAGGGGCTTGATTCCTAGAGTATCAGAGAAAAATCCTCTCCTCTCAAGGGAAGGGGAAGAGGAACCATTCTGAAACAGAACAAAGCATTCTGATTTCTTTCTTTCTTTCTGTAGATGATATGACAATATTATTAAGGATCCAATAAATTCAACAGAAATTGTTTAACTATTGACAGAATAAGTTGGCTATATATAAGACAAAATACAGAATAAATATTACTTTCTTTTTTATTAGTGCTGAACAATTAGAAACTGAATGATACTATCAAAATTAGTCTGTAAAAACATGAGAAGTATTTAATCAAAGAATTATATATTTTTATTAAGGAAATAAAATAGGACTAAAATAGGTAGACATATAATAATTTCTAAGAGCATGCAGATGCTGCTTCTCCTCAAATCAATGTACGATTATAATGCAAATCTGACTAATAACCTGAGGAATTATTCTGGGAAATAAGTTGGCTCTAAAATTTATGTGGAAGAATAAGTTTGAAAAAGAAGAATTGTGAGGAGGAACTTGCTGAGATATTAAAAATACACTTATAATTATTTTAGTGTAAAGAGGCAATTGTACAAAAGCAGATAAATACATCACATTCCAGCTAAAGCTGGGACAGACACATTTGTACAGGTGGGTTTAATGTTATGATAATGAAAGTATTTTGAAGAAAATAAAGTCACTCCCACACTGCACACTTATAAAAGTTTTAGGGACTTCCCTGGTGGTCCAGTGGTTATGACTCTGCACTCTCAATGGAGGGGGCCCAGTTCGATCCCGGGTCAGGGAACTAGATGCTGCATGCTGCAGCTAAAGATCCCACATGCCACAATTAAGACCTGGGGCAGTACCTGCCCCCCACCCCTCCAAAAAAGGGTGTAGTATGAATTGAGCCTCTAAATGTAGAAGAAAAATTTGTACTGTATTGTTATGTTAAGGTAACTATACTTAGTAGCAAAAATATCTTAGGGTTACAGTAGCTTAATGCTCTACTATTAATATAGGAGAGCATCTTGAGTGTGGAGTCTGAGTTTGGAATTCTTCAGGGCATCCCTTCCAGGTGATAATTAAGGTATTGAGGTTGAGGCTGTGCCATCTTCTAAGCAATTTGAAATATGTGGTTTTGAGCTCAGCTACTGAACGAGAAGAGAGAGCTGGAGGGTCGAACAAGGGTGCCCATGGTCAGGGATCACAGTGACAAAGAAATGAGTCGCTTCTGCTCACTTCCTGTTGGCTAGAACTAGTCATATACCAAGAACCTAATTCTAAAATGTGCTGAAGCCCATGGAAATGTAGTCGGTATTAAATATGTCCATCCAAAAATATAGATACACATATATGAAAACCTCAGGGCTGGGAGAACATTTCTTTTGACTGTCTGGAAAAGAAAAAGCAATAAAAGGAAAAATCAATTTGACTCAAAACAAGATTTAAGGCATTAAACAGTGAAAGATGCCAAAAACAAGCTCAAAAGGCAAGCAACAGATTGAGACGATATTTGCCACACATATAAATGGCAAGATGTTAAAATTCCTGCTGTGCAGGAATTTTTCTATAAAGAAAAAATGACAAACTAATTAGAGAAGATAGCAAAGGATATTAAAAATTTTTAAATGCAGATGGTCGGACACATATGTACAAAGAAGTACACTGTGGTATTGTTGGCAATGGCATAAAAATGAAAATAATTTAATTTTCAGTTGGAATCTGATTGAATTGCATATGGCATGTCTATATATCAGAATACCATGTGGTCATTAAAAGAGAACAGAATTGGTCTCTATGTTGATATGAACAGCCCTTGATATATAAGGAGAAAAAAACAGATATAGATCACTATGGGAAACATGATTGTAATTTGAGGGAAATTAAATTTAATTGGAAATGTTAATAATATAGATGATTGATAAATAGGTAATAATGCAACATGTGTTAGTCACTCAGTTGTGTCCGACATTTGCGGCCCCATGGACTCTAGCCCACTAGGCTCCTCTGTCCATGGCATTCTCCAGGCAAGAGTACTGGAGTGGGTTGCCATTCCCTTCTCCAGGAGATCTCCCGACTGGATCTCCTGCTCTGAAGGCAGATTCTTTACCGTTTGGAGCACCAGAGAAGCCCAATAATACATAATATGACAAAAGAATATGATAAAAATATGAGCCAAACTGTTAACTCTTTTTCTGAAAAGCAAAGGAGGGGACATTCCCTCTAATTCATATAGTTTTCTAAGTGGTAGCTGATTTTTTGAGTCTTTCTGCATTGTTTAAATAAAAATCCATCAGTAATATTAATTAATTCATTTATTCCTCCACTCAGGTACCCGTTTATCCATCTACCCCTATACCCATCACTCCATTCATTTGTTTTATGGTAGCCAAGCAACAGGTAATAAGGACCAATTCTTAGACACTGTGTTTGCCACAAGTATTGCAATTAACACTGGGTTGAGCTCAGCCCGGAATAAGCAGGATGCCCAAATGTTGTTTCCTCTTTCTTGACTGTTGATTTAAAAACAAACCAAGAAAACAAGAAGAGTCTGGCCCCGGTCTTCTTGAGCGCACCATCTGGAATGGCTTCCCTCCTCTCTAACCTTTGTCTGCCCTGTGGATGACACATTGGTGGGGAACATCCTTTATAGTAGGAAATGGAGGTCAATAAAATTTGCACCAGGCTTTCCAATTTAGTATCATCCCAGTCAGGACATCCCANATTATATATATATATGCACATGCTCCCCTGGTAGCTCAGCTGGTAAAGAATCCATCTGCAGTGCAGGAGACCCCTATTTGATTCCTGGGTCAGGAAGATCTCCTGGAGAAGAGATAGGATACCCATTCCAGTATTTATGGGCTTCCCTGGTGGATCAAATGATAAAGAATCTGCCTGCAATGAGAGAGACTTGGGTTCAATTCCCTGGGTTGGGAAGATCCCCTGGAGGAGGGTATGGCAACCCACTCCAGTATGCTTGCCTGGAGAATCCCCATGGACAGAGGAGCCTGGAGGGCTACAGCCCATGGGGTTGCAAAGAGTCGGACATGATTGAGTGACTAAGCAGAACACAGCATATATATATATAGTGTATATATATTATATATATAATATACACATATATGTGTGTTCAGTTGCTCAGTTGTATCTGACTCTGTGACTCCATGAACTGTAACCCACAAGTTTCCTCTGTCCCTGGAATTTTCCAGGAAAGAATACTGGAGCTGGTTGCCTTTTCCTACTCTAGGGGATCTTTCTGAGCCAGGGATTGAACCTGTGTCACTTATATCTCTTGCATTGGCAGACATGTTCTTTACCACCAGCAGCACCTCGGAAGCCTGTATACATATATATGTAATATATAGATACACTGTTACAGATTCTTTTCCCTTATAGGTTATTACAAAATACTGAGTATAGTTTCCTGTGCTATGCTATTAGTCCTCTGTTTTACATACAGTAGTGTGTATACATGTTAATCCTAAACTCTTAATTTATCCTTCCCTTCCCTTTCCCCTCTGGTAACCATAAGTTTGTTTCCTAGTCTGTGGGTCTATTTCTGTTTTGTAAAGAAGTTCAGTAGTACCTTTTTTTTTTTTTAAAAAAAAGATTCCACATATAAGTGGTATCATATGGCTTTTGTCTTTCTCTCTTTGACTTACTTCACTTGGTATAAACATCTCTAGCCCATCTATATTGTTGCAAATAGCATGTTTCATTCTTTATTTTTTGTTTCATTCCTTTTTATGGCTGAGTAATATTCTAGTGCGCGCGCGCGCACAGACACACACACACACACACACACACACACGTATATGTACCACATCTTCTTTATCCATTCCCCAGTCAGTGGACATTTAGTTTGCTTTCATGTCTTGACTATTGTAAATAGTGCGGCAGTGAACACTGGGGTGTATTGTCCTGTAGGGATCTTTAATTGATTTTATGTGCAATTGGACAGACATCCCAAACCAATTGGAATTGTTTTCCTTGTTATAATCTTTAAAAGAATAGCTTCATTTTAGAAATAAATTTTTTTTTCCTATTTTTCAGACTCTTTTTCAGAATATATGTTCAAAGGCTACAGCCTTGAAAGGGAGAGAAATATTTCTTCCTAATATTCCATATAGTTGGTTCGTCTTATAGTGCTAATGTGGGAAAATATCCACCTAGAGCAGTTTCCTGTCCAAGAGCTTGTCTCGATGCCAAGAAAAACTGTCACTCTTAAACATTCTCCCCATGTAACAAAGAGAATTGGATTATCTTAAGTCCATACTCTGAAAATGCAGGCAAAATTTCTCCTTACGTGAAGCAAAGATGAGTCTCCGGGAGGTAGGTAGGAGAGGTTTTATTTTTATCCATTTTCCAGGAGAAGAAAGGAATATTCCAGGGGATTTTGTAATTCATTCAAGAGAGTGCTGGTCAGTAGCAAAGCTGATCTCAAACCAGATAACACCAATCCTGAAACTCTGGCCAAATGTGCTCTTGATGTATGATCCAAAAACCTTATTTATAAGATCTGCTGACCTCTGTCCTCTGTGATCTTGGTTGTCTGGAGACTCAGCTTGAACTCACATAGACTGCAGGACAGTGATTCCAGGACTGAGGAGGCAGGATCCTTGGAAGAGAAGAGGCTGTTTTGTTTTGTTAGTTGTTGTTTTCCTGGGGTCAACCCCTGTCATCACTTTCAAATGCAGAGAGGCTATTTCCTCTAAGCTGGTCACTGAGATGGACCTTTTTTTCTTTCCACCCTGTTTCTCAGGGGCTGTGGGCAGAGCCTCTGCCAGAGGGGAAAGGGAGCGAGCATCCCAGAGGACTTGCCCTGTCAAAGGAGAGAAAGCCGAGCAGATGGCAGCTGACACGTAGAGGGCACGTTGGAGGAACCCTGGCCCTGAGCAGGCTTCCTGAGCCGCGATCTGGGGTCCCTCCCTTACAGAGCAGCCCAGAGGAGTCTGATGAGTTGGCCGAGAACCAGTGGGCTGGTCGCCAAAGGGCAGTAAATCAAAGTGAAAAAGAGGTGATATTTTAAAAGCAAGCAACACTTTTGTTTGTTTATTTTAAAGAGCAGAGAAATAAGTTTTTCTAATGGTCAAAGGGTAGGAGATATAAAACAACACTGCAGTGGAATAATTCAAAGTGATTTGTTTGTAAAAGTCCTTTTCTGTAATGAGCATGCCCTAGGATTATGAAACAAGATTCTCAACATTTCTCTAGGCGATGATATGATTTTTACCTGGAAACTGGTGATCCAGTGTTCATGAGGTTCTTTCCACATTAAAATAAACAGAATACTCTAGTTCATAATGTCCACACAGGTGTTAAAATCTCTTTGTAAAGTTACTAGAGCCAAAATCTTTCTTTTTAATCTTCATTCAAGTTCTGTTTCTTCTGTCTTTGATGAGTTTTCTTCACTTGGTCACTCAAACTTGGAAAAATTCTTCTAAATCCTCACCTCCTGCCATCAGCTGAGGATGGATTTGCAACCAGAAGAAGATTCTAGGGGCAATCAGAACTGGGTCTTAAGAAACAAGATCTCAGGACTGTGGATCTGGGGGTGTGATTCCACACAACCTAGGTGACACCTAGGTATTCACTTGTTTATTGTGATCCCTCCTTTAATAGATTTTACTTGTAAGTAGAAAATGTTTCCAGAATATAAAAAATTTGTATAAAGAATAATATCATGAATACTCAGACACTCATTACCTTGATTAAGAAATAAATCAACTCTAATTATAAGGGAAAGATTTGTTGTGTTTTTCAGTCACTAAGTCATATCTGACTATCTATCTCCTTGTCTCT